ATTCAAATCCAAAGGTGGAAAAAATCACTGGCTGGTGGTGTCTGTGACACATGTCCGAACATGCCCAGAGAAGGAGGATTGGAGACTTACAACCTTTCAGCAGAAAGAGGAACCATGATCCATCATCATCCATCTTAATCTTCTGTCACTTCTGTCAAGCAAAACTAAGGCAATACACTGAGCTGTGATTACACTGGCCGTCAAGTCATGAGAGAAGGAGGAGGATAGTCTCTCCCGGTCGAATCTCAAATCCTAATTCAGCCTAATTCTAATTCTGTTTCTGTTCGGATGAGAAACCGACACTGAAACCATCTTTCCAATGCCCAGCATTGCTTGAGTTCGGTGAGCTTCGACATGCGGGATCTGCACCATGGAAGAAAAGTTCCATCAGCACTGCCATCAGCATCCAGCTGCTGCAACTGATCCAGCTGCGACTGGTAGGAAGCAACCAAAGTTGAATCCTCATCACCAGTGGGGACAGGTGCCTTCAACCCAAAATCTTCACCGCCATCTGCTACACTGGCCCCTTCTTGAGAACGTTTCCTGTTGCGACCAGCACCACCTCCACCTCCTCCGGTATTCCTAGACTTCTTCTTGTTTGGCTCGCCCTTGGGCTGGGCAATTGCTTTGCCACTCGGCCTCTTCTGCTGTTGATTCCCACATGCCCCTTTCATGCGACTGAAGAGCTTTGAAAATGGGCTCGGGTCCAACATGTGTGAGTCTTCCTCCTCCTCATCGCTGCCAAGATCACCAGTGCGACCCTCTGCAACATCGACATCTGAACTGGCTGCAGCAGCTGCACCAAAGCGAGAACTTGAAGCACCACTGATGACCACAGCGTTGGAATCATCTCCGCCCATCTTCCCCAAGTTCTTCATAGCAGCCGTGTGGATGCGGTCGTTTTGGTCTGCAGAGAGCACCGTTGAAGATGTCAGCACATTTGTCCGGTCACATTGCGTGGAGCTTTCGTTAATGTACTCATAGACACCTTCGTCCTGGACAAGACATGAGAAGCAAGCAGCAAGCACTGCAAGCACATTGGAATCGAAACAGTAAAGGTCTCTCACTGGGAAAAGGCCCTAATGATTGCCCCAGTGACGTTGAGTTGGAACACGTTGAGTTGGTGTCAGTGTCAGTGTCAGTACAACATGAATCAGTGGCAGTGGCAGTGCACATCTTTTAGCACAGTGTGATTATGTCAATAGACCAGACCAACTAGACCTTGGGACAATTGGAGCAAGCAGCTTAGCTAAGAAAGGAAACAGCCCAGGAGTCTGGAATCCAGAGTAATTCAATATAGCCCAGTCTATAACACAACATCCAGATGCAAGACCCAGCCAGACGGAAATCCCTGGCCTCACTCAGAATGATGTCAACCCCTTCCTTCCACTCTCCATCAATGAACTCCCTCTTGATCGAGTTGGGATCGAGGCTCTTGTTGGGAAACCGTTTCTTGAATGCCCTCAAGGTCATGAAGCTCTTCTTGGGCGCTTTCAACCCTGTCTTCTTGGTCTCTTTCACTGACACCTTCTCTTCATTGCTCAAATCAGCTGCTGAAAGGATGCGAGCTGATGGATTTGCGACTTTGATCTCCACCAGCTTTCTCCTCTGATCCAAAAAGGCATGGCTGCTGGGGGCATCTTTGTCAAGCTCCTTATCCATCTGGTTGATGGTGCCATGTGTCACCAGCCAGCCTCCGATTTCAGCAACCTGTCCGGCAGCAGGATGCTGGAGAGAGAGAGAGAGAGGAAACTTCAGAAATTGGCAATTGGGATTCAGTTGAATTAAGAATGGGCCAATTGGGCAGTTAGAGGCAGACTAGAGCCTAGCGCCTGGAGTCCTAGAGTGAGTTGTCAAGACTGGACGTAAGGTAGCCAATGACTGCTCAGTGGCTCAGTGATGCAAATATGGGATAAATCAAATCAGATGGAACAGGAAATTGTGTTCGGTACAGGTACAGGTACAGAACTAATATCACTCACCGACTTAAAGCCAACTTACATTTATTGCAATTGCATTGTGCCCAGTACCTGCACTCATGTGCTGTGCCATTGTACCACTGTGACTGTATACCCATGTGCTGTACCACTGTACCCATGTACCGTACCACCGTACCCATGTACCGTACCCATGTACCGTACCACCGTACCCATGTACCGTACCCATGTACCGTACCACCGTACCCATGTACCGTACCCATCGCACCCATGTACCGTACCCATGTACCGTACCCACCGTACCCACTCTACGTTTGCTAACTGGGTACGTAGAGTGGGTACGGTGGGTACGTTACATGGGTACGGTACATGGGTGCGATGGGTACGGTACATGGGTACGGTGGTACGGTACATGGGTACGGTACATGGGTACGGTGGTACGGTACATGGGTACGGTGGTACGGTACATGGGTACAGTGGTACGGTACATCATAAGTAATCTAAGTAACATCCATATCACAGACCACACATGTCAGTCTGTACCCACTACGGTCTTGAATCGAACCCTAAACCCTAAATTCAAAGCAAACCCTAAACCCTAAACTCCAAGCAAACAAAAGTTCCTGAGACTGTCTCAGAAGTTTCAGAAGATCTTTAAACTTTAGGCTCTTTAGACTCTAGACTCTTTAGACTTTTAAACTTTAGACTTTAGACTTTAGATTCTATATCAATATCGTCTCATCGTCTCTGTCTATATCGGACTCAGCCCGGGTCCCAGCCTTCCTGCATAGTAAGCAGTGTCGGCCCAAAGGGTTCACTAGTGAACCCGCTTCCCAGGCGATCAGTTTGCCCCAGCTGCGCTCCTGGGACTGTTCTTGGTCGTATGGAGCTGGTTGTGTGGACCACACTCCGCAACGAACGCATCGTTTCGGCCTAAAGTTAGGCGCAAAGCCCAGGTCAGCTGGCGGCGGAGGTGCATGTGACAATGCTGGAGTATGAGAATCCAGCTTGGAACTCCGGCCAGTCACGGACATCTTAGCTGCCACGATTTCGGCACAATGTGGGCGTTACACTGCCAAGGCAAGGAAGGACGAATGGAAAAATGGAAAGCCTGGAAAGCCCAATAAACTGAAATAAACTGCTGAATTCTGAATTTATTTCATGGCTTTTGTCGTTGTAACTGTAACTTTCAGAGTCAGAGATACTACGTAGACACTTGCTCTGTTGGGCCTAGTCCTTGATCTTGTGATCTTGGCTGCAGAGATCTGAAGTCGGAGTGATCTGAACCAAATCAAAAATGCAACTAATGCAACCGCAATCTTGGCAATCTGAGCATTGACGAAGTTGTTGAACTAGGATTTCTCACACCTAAGCCTAAACCTACACAAAAAACAAACATTCAGATTCAGGTTCAGACCTCAATTTCAACTCCAGAGTCAAACTGATCAAAGCTGATTTTCAAAATCAAACCAGCAAATGCAAACATCGTCTCAGTCATCTGATGATGCTGGGAGAAACATTGGGTGAAAACATTGAGCAAAGAGCCGCACAGCTATGAGAACGATTTGTTCGAGCTGCCAACTGACCACACCGTTCGGTCAGAGACGTTGTTTGGAGCAGCACGCCACATTCAGCTGACACCAACAAAGGTTTGGAACCTCATGCACGGGCAGAACATCTCCTGTGTGATGCAGAATAATGAATAATGACAGTGTTAATTTTTAATGTCTGTCCAGTCAGACATTAATAATGAACTGAATGAATGAAATAATTATTTATAAATTATAAATTATAAATTATAAATAATTATATGCAGGCTCCAAGTCGAGTGAAATTAAAATGTGGACTCAGCTCACCTCAAACTAAATCCAAAATTTCCAAATGATTCATCAGAAAGAAACTGTGCTTTGTGCTCAGCTCCCTGGGAACGCTCAGGCAAACGTCGTCCACCATCAAGCCACTGTAGGAGCCTGGGTTCACAATCGTCGCCAAGCTTCTTGGCCAGGACGAGCTTTGCGCAACCCGTGTGCAAACCTCACTGCCGGCCATGGAAATATATTGAAAAGCGTATGTTATGTTACAGTTTGGCTTCATGATGTAAATGCTCATGGAGCCATAGTCAACATGTAACATGTCAGTGAAAAGTGAAAAGTACAACTTCCGACCATATTTTGGCCATCAGTTGGCCATCAACCAGTGTCTGAGCATCCAGCTACACCTGATAGAAATGGCATGCTGAGCAGTGTCCTGCTTCATCTCAGTGATCCGGCCTGAGATGCAGAACAGGTCGAGGGAAAACAACCGTACACCGTATGGTACACCAGTTTGCTGAGGCTGTGATTCTATGATAACTGACTGACTGACTTTATCGACTACATTGAGTACGCACAGTGTCAGTGAATCAGCCTTGAATCAAGCAGCTTGACAAAAGGTCACATTGATCATTGATCATCACACTGAAAGGTCTGAGGGCCTGGCCTATGTGAAAAGGCTTGCCGGTCTCCGCATTAAACCGCCAACAATGGCCCTTTTGATCCCTCCATGGATGTTCTCTGCTCACTATTGGTATTTTGGCAGGGCCTTCATCTGGCTCTGTTTTGCTTGACGCTGGCACAGTTGGAGCTTGTTGTTTCTTGGCACCCCTGCATGATTGCGCCTTCTCTACAAGGGGAAGCGGTCCTTGTTGCGCTTCTAGTGCATCCCTCCATTCACCCATGAGTGTGTCATGAGCCTGGCCAGATTCTCCAGGTTCATTTGGGTGGTCATCGATTGCATTGATGCCTGCTGGATCTGATTTCTTTGAAGTGTTACCAGCCTTTCGTGGTTTATTCTTTTGTACCTGATCCTTTCTAGTTTTCTTCTTCGCCTTTTGATTATCTTTGCCTTTGCTGTCCTTATTCCCACGCAGTTTGCGGAGCAGTTCCATTCGTTTTTTTACATCAGCGGTATCACCATCTGATTCGTCAGTGCTTGGCTCATCATGAACTGCATGCTTCTGGAGGGAAATAGCTTGCTCAAAAGTTTGCAACTGGACAAGTCAATTTGAATCTCTCTCAAAGAAACTGCTTTGTACGAAGCCATTTTGAAGGAAATGTCATCCCCCAACTTGGAATACTTGTGCAGCATTTGGGGCAAGGAGAGAAACTCAAGGATGCCCACTGCATCGTTCACGTTGATACGTGCCAACGAAGCATCATGGCTACACCTGCCCAGTTGTATGGCAGTACAATCAAACGGTTTGAACATCAGTCTGGTCAGCATCACAACCTTGAACTCATCCTCGAATCCAACGTCACTGTTTGCATGATACCACAGTAGGACAACATGGTTTGCAGTGAAGCCAAATTTCCTTCTGCAATCCCTCATGTATCGCAGCACATTCTTCACTTGCTCATGCAATTTGTTGTATATGACCAAACAAGGCTCAATATCTCTTTCATGACACAAGCCGGCTTCGCATACAGTTTCCTCCTCTTCGTCTGAATCGTCGTCATCCTCCTCATCTTGAGGAAGCTCCACAAGTGCATTTGCGGAGCCTTGAATGTGACCATGCTCTTGCCAGTTTTTATTTCCAGCCTCTCGAAAACTCTGCCTTGCACGGTCAACACATGCTTCTGAGACAGCAAAATGCTTGTCTGACAGAGCCCCTGCAGCCATATCAGGGCAAGGGCGGTGTTCCTCAGTTTCTCCTTCAGATCCTTCAGGGACAAGGGCTGATTCCTCTTCTGGCTTGTCCAAAGCCACGGTCTGTGACAGCTTTGCAGCCTGATTGGCAGCAATAGCCTCTGCACTTTTCCCCTGGCAACAGCACCAAACAAACCACAATTACAAATTGTATAAATGATTCAATGATTGCATTTGTAGTTTGTAAATTGCAAATTTACATTTTTACAGTTTTACAGATTGTGGGAACATAATAACAGTACAATTTCAATTATCAGAGCATCACTCGTGACTCATTATGACTCATGACACGACAAGGCCGAAGCTTTGACAAGCTTGAAGCGGATTCAAAAGAAGAAGCGCCTTTAGGGCAGCCTGGTCCATGGCCCTCCAAGACTGCTGCGCTTCTTGCCAAACTCTGCTCCTAGATTCCTCCGGAGTCTCTCCAGGAAGAACCACCTCATATGTCACAAGCAGAGCAGACTCATAGAGGATCATCATAATTCGCGGCGAGTCATGAATCATTGAATAGCCATTGGGACAGGATAGGCTAGGATTCAAAAGCTATTTGCAACTTACAAAACCAAGGGGAGAAAGCACTGACTGAAATCACGAAACTCTGCAAACAGTATGGTGTGTGTGAAGCGTTACTGTTACAGTGACAGTGAATTCTGGGCCCCGAACTCTCTGTGCCATGCACTCAGACATATGCAGGGTAAAGCCATTGTAGGCCTTCGGCTTGTCGGTGTCGTTCAAGTCTGCAAGCAGCAGGCGATAGAAATTTGCATGGCCTGTGACAGTCTGTGACTTAAGATTTCCACTGGTCCAGGGCTCGCCTGGTTTGGAACGCTGCTTCTGCATTTGAAGCTGGCAACGGTGGTGGGATTTTTGGATCTCATTGAGCACAAACTTCGCAGCCTTAGAAAAGGGGCTGCTTCAGCAAGTTGAAGAATCAAAAGTGGGCCAACCCAACGTTTCGGATCAAGAGATCAAGTGAAACAGATTGAGAGTGGAGCCATTGTATCAATTGCGTGAAGACGCCCGCGGGTCACCCTCAGCAGTATGCTGAAAATTTATCTGAAAGCCGGAGGATCAGTGAGTTGCGATTTGTGGTTCAAATGATTCGTATCCAGTATCGGTATGTTATGAAACTTATGAACCATGAAACAGACTATGCAACAAAAGTCATGCAGCCATCCAATATAAGAACTGGCTGAAAACAAAGGATGCTTGAGCAGCTTGCAGCTGTTGATTACAAGGTCAGTCTGGGTGCCAAGCAATCTTTCCGACACTGCTCTTCCAAAGTTGCACTCAACTTCAGAATTTGTCACCTTGCGCATTGCCAAAACTTTGACCTTAGGAAAGCAAGCAAACGCTAGGTTGTTTGAATTCTGTGTGACAATGACAATGCCATGCCGTGCCTACAAAATGATTCAAAACTGGCACAACGTACAAAAAACAAAATATTGTCAACTTGGCCAACAATTAACAATATTAAAAATTGAAAACAATGGGTCATGAGACAATGAACAACAAGATTTCCTTTGAAAGGGGTCCTCGGCTAGGCTAGACTAGACTAGATTTGGCTACACTATGAATTTCAGAATCATTAATCATCACCATCATCATTGATCATCATCAACTCAACCGTCAACCATAATCAGATTAATCAAGCGGCAGCTTAAAAACTCATGTCAAATGCCATATGTAACCTTCTCAGGCGCAAACTATGCTGTGCAAACTTCCATCTGGAAGCAGGTCGTTTGCTGAATGATTGTGCTCCTGAAAAGGGTTTTTTTCAACTCATGCAGTCTCACAAGGACACAGCGTGTCAAACATACTGCACCATCATCATACTGAGACTGAGACTGAATCATCTATAGATTGTAGACAGGCTTTAGCGGCTATAGGCTATTGTGGACAGGCTATAGCGGCTATAGGCTTTAGTCAATTTCAATTTCAATATCAAATCACTGACAACTGACAACTGACAGGATCAATTTGAAGTGACGAAACAGAAATCAACTTGAATCGCTGCCTCCAAGTATGCTTTCAAGCGCTGAGAGTATGCCAAGTCCAAACAGCAAGGCCGCGCACTGGAGAAATCGCGGATGATGCCTAATTTCTCCTCATTGCTTGTGTCTGGGTCGCAGAGCAATGCCAGCTTGTGTGGGAACTGTTGAAAAGGGCGGAAACAACGATGCCAGATATGAGCACTGATGGAGAGAATAGAGAACTGGGCCGTGTGCAAATCATCAAGCGAAAAACCTGCAGGCACAAAACTAGCGTTGGCACTGCACTGAAAACATGACTGCCTGCCTGAATGTCCGCTGGCTATCAATATCAAATCAAATTCAATTAAATCTTCGGTCAAGAATTCAGACCTTCCATGGCGGGCGGCAGGGGGCCAACCAGCAACTCCACAGAGTCCTTGATGGCATCGATCGCTGGGGACCTACCAGTCAACAAATCAACCAACTCAGGATTGTACAGCAGCGCAGCACAGTTATCTTTGTGAAAGTGAGACGCCAGTCAACGGCTGCCTATGAACAAAATAGAATGGAATCTGCATCTACAGCAGTCGCTGGCTGGAAACAACACGCCTTCTAGAAGAGGACAACTTGACAGCCGGTAGGTTGGCAGGATCTGTGTCTTTGAGCCATTGCTGCTCTCGCTGATCCCTGAAAAGGCAATGCCTGAAGTTCTCAAATGAACAAACTGCTTGCCAAATGCCACAGAAAAATCAGATGACTGAAACTGGGACTGATGAGTCAGTCTAAGTACGAGGTGATGACATTGACATTGACATTGATACGGTTCGATTCATGATTTTAATATAATTTGATTTGATTATTTGATTAATAAAAATAAAATATCATTTATGATTTATGATTTATGATTTGCATTTGATTGATTAAAAAAAGACAAACGTCAGCAAACAGCTTGTCAACCCAAACCACACACTTCATCTGTCTCTGAGCAGAGCGCATCATCCTCTCCAAAGGCGACAACATAGTGGCTGAGATGATCAAATTTGGATTCGTCTGCGGTTTTTCCATCCAAGAGGTCGCTTTCTTGGAGCGAACACGCTGCACACGCACAAATTGCTGAGGATCATCAGCTGTCATGAAGGAACCTGTTGTGTGGGCCAGCGCATTTGAAGCACTGTCAGGTTCTGCAGCCAGAGTTGCCTGCCAAAGAATCCACCGGATCAATATGCAGGCCAAAACAGCACAGCACTGAAAGACTTAAAGAAATTACAGGCCGAACCTGTTGGAACATTGATTGCCTCAAAGTCAGCCCCAAGTCAGGATGTAAGATTTGATTTACTCACTCAGAGCTCATTACAAACTGCATACCTTGCCTTCATCCATCCACTGTGTTGAAAACAGAGTAATTCAGAATTCATAGTCAAGAGTCAAAGTCAAAATAAAAAGAATCAAAGAGTGGAAGCAAAACAAGAGCGCCCAACTGGGAATCAAGGCCAGGCTTGAAGGAACAAGTTGTGGAACGCCATACCCAGCCTGAACTACTGGATGTTGGCAAAATCAGATCTGATCAAGAACCCAGATAAAGAAATAGGTCGGTCTGCTGTAAACCACGATCTGGGCTAAGGCTGTAGCAAGTAAAAGCGAATACAGTCCCCGCATTGGGTCCAACGTGACAGGACTGGAATCTGCGGCCGTTCGTTGAACCTAAAGTTCAAGCATGCCAGATGCAGGGTACCAAGAAAAGGCACAGCCCTTCATCACTCTGAGTAAACCGCACTGCTCCAAGAATTGCAAGCCACACCTTCAGCCCTCAGTGTAGTCACCATGAGCAGTCTAGGATATGAGACAATGGCTGCAAGGGCAATGGCAACTGCAATAAGAGGAAGACTGCAAGAGCTCTCTGAGAACGCAACGGCTTTCAGCTATGTCTTTGCAACATCCCAACTTGCAATGGTGTCTGATCACCGGGTCTTTCCAATCCTGCCACAGCATGAAAACATGTTTTTCTCTGTTAGCCCTTTAGTTGACCGTTGCCATTGAAGGATAATGTTTTCAAAAGATTGATAGCCCCTGTCAGACTATGACTCTCTATCAAATTTCTATTGACCGACACTGGGCACTCAATAGCTTTCCTAAGAACCTGACCCCGTTGCACACTTCGAGAAGATGGTTTGCAGCTTTGATGGAAGAGGCAGCACATTGATCAGAGTCATCGTCTTTTGCACTCGGTCCTGTGTCGCTGCCACAGCAATGAATGTTCTATGATGTACAGTTCTACAGTAAACAGTAAACAGCAGTTCTACAGCTACAGTCAGTTACGGTCAAATTAGGCCCCCCTTGTTTGAAGTTGGTAGTGGCTCCTGATATCATTGATATCATTGATCTTGTGTCATGTGAACCCTTCCTGTAAACCATGTGAATCTGGGCCCAAGACTTTTTTTCAGGACCTCCTTCAATATGCTGCGGGCATATGCTGTGTTCTGACTCAACGGCCTGAAGCGCTTCTCTATGCCGTCTAAGTCTATGCCAACTAATACTCCATTCGGTCCATTCTGACCCATTCTCATTCTGAGTCTTGGTTTTCTCTTATTCTCTGTTACTTCTCACTGGCTTGGCGACTTAAGCCCCAGACGGCTCGTACACCACTTCCAGCATATGATCCACGACCCGTCTGGCATGACACAAAAGGTCAAAGAACAAGCTTCCCTGAGTGAACAGGGATGATAGGCAAAACCTTGGCCAGGCGTGAGACGGTTTAGAGAAAATTGCAAGATGCAAGGTCGTAAAGCTCTCAAGTCACAAGTAAGATACCGCCGGATACCACCTGCTGGCCTACAGCTTACTTACGTGCCTACTTACTACTCTACTGTACTCTTACTCTCTTACTTACCTACCTACCGATCAAACTAAACGTGCATTATCAAATGTCTCAAAATCAACTGAGCTACATTGGCCCAAGATCCCCCAACGTCTTCAAAGCAATCTCGGAACAGTGGTTGAGTTCGTGCCTCACAAGTCGCAAACATGATTTGGTAGTTGGTTTCGGTTTCGACGGTCAAGGCTTTGAACTTTGAACATGTCATTTCAATCGTAAGTAACCTGACACTTTGGATTTGGAATCATCCCTGTTCACGTCGAACCCAA